ATAATTAATAATAATAATAATAATAATAATAATAATAATAATAATAACAATAATAATAATCGTTTATTTAGCATTTTGCTATTACATATTCTTTTAAAAATAAACAATTTATATAAAAATATTACATTTTAATAAATAATCATTCGTTAAGCACATTAAAAATCATTTTTCTGAATAAATTACTTTAATATAATCCTTTAAATCTCTCTTAAAACTACTAAGCGTTTTCTGCTGCTTAATATCGTCAGGGAGATCATTATAATATCTCATTCCTTTATACAATATACTGTTTTCCGCAGAGCTCGTTCTCGTATTTTTAATATCTATGTAACTACACTGTCTAGTATTGTAGTTATGTACATTACTTCTGGTTGTAATTTTATCTGATAAATAATTAGGTGTAAGATTGTGGATCATTTTAAAGATAAGAATACACGTATTATAAATCACGCGTTGATGTATACTCATCCACCCTAATACATCCAACATAGTTTTAATATTTATATATTTATTTACACCTAGCACTATCCGCATAGCTCTGTTTTGAACTTTTTGTAGACTTTTTAATTGAGATTGATTATAATTTAACATCAGAGTGCTGCAGTACTCGAAATGAGGTGAAATAATAGATTTGTAAATAATACTTTTTGTGTAACTCGACACAGAGTTATTTAATCTATACAAGATGTTTAGTTTCCTTGCGATCTTACTGACAGTACTTACTGAATTTTGTCTGAATGTTAAATTATCATCAATAAGAATCCCTAAATATTTAACTTGCTTAACTTCCTTAATTTTAACACCATCAATAACAATAGTACATTTATTCCTAATATTTGTTTTTCTTTGGTCATGTATAATAGAGAATACAGTTTTATTTTTATTCATTTTCATTTGATTTTGTTTTAACCATTTACTAAGAATTTTTCCTGCTTCATTTATTTTAAATTCTATTTGTTCAATAAATAAACTAGTAAAATACAATTTCAAATCGTCTGCAAATAATTTACAAGTTACACCTATATTCTTAAACTCTTTCACAATCGTATTTATATAGATTATAAATAATAGAGGCCCAAGTTTTGACCCTTGTGGTACTCCATGCTTTACAATTATTTCATCAGAGAGCTTGTTATTAAATTTTACTCTTTGTTTTCTATTTGTCAAATAAGAAATAAACCAGTCTAATACTACTCCTCCAATACCTAGTTCATTTAATATTTTAATTAGTTTAGATCTATTAATCGTCTCGAATGCCCTCGCAAAATCTACATACAAAACTCCCACTAATAATCCTTTATCTAATGACTCCCGCCAATCAATAATCGAGTTTTGTAACGCAGTTTCACAGGAGAATTTTTTTCTGAATCCTGATTGCTCATTTTCCAGAAAATTGATTTGCTCAATATAATTTTCGAGTCGAGACTTCACTGCCTGTTCAAGTACTTGTTCAAGTATCGGGAGAGTATTAATCGGCCTAAATTCATTTGACATAATAGTGTTTTTCACTTTCTGAATAGGTGTAATTATTGATACTTTCCATTTATCAGGAACAAATCCTAGCTTTAATGAATTATTTATCATATAAAGAATAATATTTTTATCATAAGCCCAAATCTTCTCTATCAAATATGCGTTTATGTCATTACTCATACCTTTACTAAAATCTAATTCTTTTATTATTTTATCGACCTCTTTTATTGAGGCTTCATCAAATTTATCCCATATTACTCTGTCAAAGTGGCAGGTATTATCATTTATGACACAAGTCATAACGTCACTACTATTAATATCATTAACAATATTTTCAATACTTCTAACAAAGTATTCGTTAAATTTATTAGCTATATCTAATTCATTAAAAATAATATCACCATTAAAATTAATACTATCTAAATGTGCCTTCGAGGACCTCTTATCTCCTACCACTTCTTTCAGATACATCCACAATTTTCTAGAATCTGATCTATTCTTATCAATATGATCTTCATAATACTTTCTCTTGTTATTTCTAAGTTCTACTATGATGTTATTTCTTAATTTTTTATACTTTGCTATATCGTATGACTCTTTACTCTTTTTACATTCAACAAAAGCTTTATCTCTGACTTTCATTTTATCAATAAGTTCCATTGTTACCCAGGATTTATTATTCCATTTTGCTTTTATTACTTTTCTAATTTTTGGTGCCATTTCATCAAGAATTAACATCATATCATCTAAAATCGTATTAACCGCAGCATTAAATTCAATAAAATCAAAAGTATTATTTAGATCATTTTTATAGATGATATTATTCACTTTATCATCTAATTTTGACAAAAACAAATCGTAGTCTAAATTTTTTTTCTTATTTCTAGTATAATAAACTAAATCTTCATTTGGGTTATTAATTTTTCGAACATTTAAAATGACAATATTATGGTCCGATATTCTCGGTGTTAATAATACGGATGTGTCCAAATGAAAATTAGTAAACACTAGATCAATTCTGGTATCAGAAGTGAACGTTGTTCGAGTAGGTTTCTCTATTTTCTGTTTAAATCCTAGAAAGGCACATTCATTTAATAATTTAGTCGAGTAATGTGTATTTTTACTTATATCTACATTGAAGTCTCCGAGTATGATTATTTTATCTGTATCTACAAAGTTCTCAATAAAATTAATAAATTTATCACAGAAATAATTGATAGAACTGTTAGGTGATCTGTATAGATTGCATACTGTGAGCTGACTTTTTCCTTTCAATTGCACTACATTGATCCAGGTTCCTTGAATTAACTCATCACTAGTCACTAATGTTATAAAGCTGATACTCTTCTTAATATATGTAATTACTCCACCAGTTCGTTTGTTTAAGGTGTTTGTTCGACTAAAGTTGTAATTGTCTATATTTAATTCACAATCCAGAACATCTTCTGAGATATGTGTTTCAGTTAAACATATTAAGTCTGGTTTTGTAATATTTATCCAACTATTTAGCTCGTCCTTGTGGTATATCAGTCCGCATATATTTAACATAACTATTGACAACCCTGCACAATTAAATGTTACATTAGTTGATGAGTTTTTTGTAGATAGTTATGATTGTTTTATATTTTCTTTATTACTGTCAACTATTTTTTGGAGATATTTACACTTTAAATCAGTTGCACAGTGGGATACATCCCAATCACAGTTTTTAAATTTATTTAGGTGTTGTGTGCAGTTTATACACTTTTCAAAAGTATTCTTGCATTCTTTCTCATCGTGATTATCTGAGCACTTCCTACATATCGTATTTTTATAACATTGACTTGCAAGATGGTGAAAACCCCAACATTTGAAACATCTAGTGACATTAACAAAGTCGTAGACTTTATAATTTTTCCATCCTATTTTGATATTGTTCTTACTGATTATGTGTTTATGTAAAATTGGGGATACTTCAAGTAGGATTGATCCATGGCCTCTTGTCGTATTGTATCTTTTAATCAATTTAATGTCTTCCTCTATCTTTATTATATCATTAAAATTATTTTGATGAATAAGATCTTTAATAAATTTATCCTTATCGGTCAAAAGCATAGATTCTTCCACCTTAACAATTTTTAATTTTGGTGACTTTTTATGCAAAGTTTTTATTTCATAAGAATTTCCAAATTTACTTTTAATTTCGTTCAAAATAGAAATTTTGTCCGCCTCATTTTCAACTTCTAATGTTACTTTGCCTCCCTGATTTTTTCTTACACTATTTACACCAACACCTAACTCAATAACATTAATGTTATCTGTAATTTGTTGGAGTGTAACATTGCTCTCCTGGTTATTAATAGGTGTTATCAATATGCGTTCAACATTTTTCCTGATAGAAGTTCTATTGTTGTTTTGGTTGGAGATATCTGCAGACTGATCATTATTATTGTTACTAAAGAGATGACAAATTTCTTTAAATTGATTTAAGGAATTCTTAATCTCTATTATCTCATTTTTCAAGCCCCCATATACATTATTTATTTCTTCACGAATTAATTCCTTGAAAATGTTTTTAAGGCTAGACATTTCACTACGGATTATTATTTGCATCTCATCTTTCGTAATTTTTGAATTATTAGTATTCAGGTGGTCAAAATTTTCGGTGGAATAATTTGCTGTCAAATCAATTTGTGCAGTTATTTTATCATTATTATTGTTGTCATTATTATCTGCACTGATTTTACGATTGTCTACACTATTTTTTTGATTATTATTACGATTATTGTCAACATTACTATTTTCATAATTGGTGTTGTACACCTGTTCTCCGTTTACACTTCGATCCAAAGCATTTTCAATAGTTTCCTTTTCATATTCGTATGTGCTTCTTCTTCTAAAGCTTTTTTGTCCTTTAGTATCTAAATTGAAAAGTTCCCGCTCACCGCTACATGGGACTATATGTCCCTGACTATTATATATTTTGTGTGCCTTTGTGCAGCTTGGGTGGAAATCTTTTAAACATCCTCTGCAACTTTCCACCGCTCTTACGATCTTTCCCTTACAGCGCGCACAGGTATAGTTCTTACTCATTTTAAATACACCTTGTAGTCGACTAATAACACAGGAATGATGGAATTGGGTTTAGAAGTATGACAACAAAGCACAATTGGAAACTACCTTTAATGTTTACAATTCTAACCTTTTGAGAATTAAATTAAAATTTCTTTTCACTATAAACAATTTATAAATAGTTTATAACACAACGTCAATATCTTATTAGAAACAGAAAAATTTACTTATCACTCACACCACAACTCGATTATTTTAAATTCATTACTTATATTTGATTTCAGAGTTTCAAAATAGAGACTCCAAAACACGTCTGCTCACTATAATAATAATAATAATAATAATAATAATAATAATAATAATAATAATAATAATAATAATAATAATAATAATAATAATAATAATAATAAT